GGGGAGGGAAACCCTTCAGCGGGCTGCAGGAACATTTGAGAGCGAAAGGGCTGCCTGCCAGGAGGATTTCAGCTCTGTGCGGAGCTGAAATCCTTCAGCAGCAGCACTTCTGCTCCATCCACTTAACAACCCAGGAGATCACTTAACAACTGCAATTGGAGTGCCCAGATTGAGGTCGTTGAGCAAAGCAGTAACGTGGCAATTGGAGTGCCCAGATTGAGGTCGTTGAGCAAAGCAGTAACGTGGGCGTCTCGCTTATCGACTGCTTCACTCAACGATCCCAATTGTTGTTAAGTGAGGACTACCTGTATGCTTAATGCGTAAATAAATTAATTGGTTAAAAAGCCGAATGCTAGCTTGAAAGATAGGTGTAACGTGCCGTGTGGAAGCTGTGCCAGCTTCTGTTCACCCCGGGATTCATGGAAACATCAAGTTTGACTAGGCTGGACTTCTGTAAGATCAGATTTATTCTACTGGAAATCACTGGACAGATCTGGACGATGTTGCTGTCCTGCCTTGGTTCTTTGAAGGTGGGGAACCGAGGGTCTTCCGAAACACAGGCACCCTTTGCTTTTAATGGGGTATGCCAGTAGGTTCAACCATGGACCTCTGCCAGTGATTTTCTATGCTTTCTCAGCGGCATGGCTGTCCTTGCCAACATCATCCCTGTACCAGTGTTGTACATATGTCTGTGTGTATGGAGGACAACATTTCCATTGAAAACATTGTCAACGCCACACTGCAGTTGTCATGGCAATGTTCCAGGCCTTGTCCTCGTTTGTGGATTGGTGGGTGGCAGCCTTAACCTTTCTGAAAGCTGAATTTCCTTAGACATTGAAATGGGTTTTCTATATAGCCAGGAGCCCTGGCAGCTGGAGGCAAAGATTGAGGGACTCGTATGAACCTTGTAGCTCCCTCCGTCCCATATTCCCTCCTTTCCCTCCTTCTCAATCAAGCTGGATTTATTTCTGGAATAGGTGAGAGCAAGAATTTCCTGCCTGTTGCCACCCTGGCATTTTGGTCTGACTCCTGGGGTGGACATGGGTTCTGCAAGGCTGTGGCAGCTCGTCTAAGTGCCTATGATGTAAGCAAGAGACATCTGGCACAGTGGTTCAAGGTACCAGGCTAGGAACCGGGAGGCTGTGAGTTCTAGTCCAGCCTTGGGCACGAATCCAGCTGGGGGACTTTGGGCCTGTCCCTCTCTCTTGGCCCAGGAAGAAGGAGGCCAGGGCCAACCATTTCTGAAAATGTTGCCAGGAAAACTGCGAGGACCTGTCCATGTAGCTGCCAGGAGTCAAGACTAACTGAAAGGCACTCTCCCCCAAAAAATAGATAAAGGAAAGGCATGTCCCCCCTCCGGAGGCTGATTATGTGATGGAATGGATCTACGAAGGGGAGGGTGATGTGAGAGATCAAGGCTATCGGGAAGGAGGGAATGCATTCCAGGAGGGGAAAGGAGACAAGAGGCAACACAGTCCGCAGGGGGAGCGTGGGAAGCGAAAGAGGTTCAGGGTAGCCTCTCCCTAGAATCTCCCGGGGTATCTCCACTAGTTGCAGTCGTATAGATTTAGTCTGGCAAGATTCTGCCTATGAGATGTAAGCAAATAAAGGAACTGAACTCAACTGGAGTGTTTCACCGTTGCTCTTGGGCTGGGCCTGGCAGATTAGGAGGCAAATCCAGAACAGGGCATCATGCAGAGACCAAGTTCCTAGAGCTGGAAAAGGACCTTGAAGGAATCTTGCAACTACATCACTGTAACTTTTGCAGAATTATCTCCACTCCCCAGACTTCTTTGCTCCACTAGAGAACCACCCTTGCGTTAGCACGTTCTTCCCCAACTTTAATGGGAATCTCCTTCCCTAAGAATCCCAGTCATTGGTTTGAATCATGCTGCCTGGCGGGAAGGGAGACCATTCTGCTGCTGCTTCTGCCCATGGGTGTAGAGGGAAGAGGGGATGGCCTCGAGGGCAGGAGGAAGAGTCACTACCAAGACAGTGGCCAGATAAACGAGGACTGAGCCCAGACCAAATCAGGATTTGAGAAAATGTCTCAGCCAAGCCGCTCCCTAGTTCTCACGAAGATAAAGGGAGGGAGAGGGAAGCATATTCAGGTTTGCAAGATTCTATTACTATAACTTTACAATAGAAGTACTATCGGCCTACTTGACATTAGATTCCTAGTCTGATCCACCTTGAAGGGCTGGAACCGGGGTAATGGAAGGGCCAACAGTTGAAAACTGTATTAATTCACTGCAGCCTTGTGGAACTGTCTCTCGGATCCATGTGAATGCTGTTCTCTTGTTTTACTTCCCCTGTCTTTCTCTTGTTACCCTGAGCTGCCCAGGAAATAACATTTCCCTGCTAATCATCGGCCTCTTTTTGTCCCGCCGTAGGCAACTGCTCCTTTTCTGCATCTCGGAGCCCTTGCAGCTGTCACCGCTCTGTCTTGGTTGGTGTCCGGGCAGTTTGCAAAAGCAGAAAGAGCCGGTGAGTAGAGAAATGGAACAACAGGGAAGGGAAAGGACAGGCGAAGGACAAAATGACGGTCACACCTTCACGATGCGAACTCCATCCCTTTCGTAGGTGTGCCGTGATGTCACATACATACCCACACACATAGCCAAGGGATGGAACTGGTATCGCAACACCCATTTTGGTGTTTGGACAAAATGGTTGGCTTCTGCTGACCAGAGAGAGGTGCTTGGGGGAGACTTCACCAGACTTTGGAAAGCCTGAGAAATTTTTGTTAAATTTTGTTTCCGTGATGGAGACTTAATGCTTTATGACAGTGTTGTCCAAACTTGGCCACTTTAAGATGAGTGGACTTCAACTCCCAGAATCCCCCAGCAAGCCATGAATTCTGG